ACTTTCTAACAACAGTTAATGCATTAATGCATGGATGAGTGATGCTCGGTGCACACTCCAGTGCCGCATCCCTGATCAGTGTCATGAAGGTGAAGGTATGCAAATTGCTCGACCTTGCCTGTGTAATCAGGTAGTAAATCAGTAGCAAGATTATCGATACTTCTTCCTTCTAAGCTCACCTGACATAATGCTGAGAGCTGAAAGAAATGTCCCTTCAAGCTGCATTTGCTACTTGGTATTCCCTCCGTTCTGAATTACTTGTCTTAGATTTGTCTAGATACGGAGGTATCTAGCACTAAAATGAGTCTAGATACATCCGTATCTAGACAAATCCAAAGACAAGTAATTCGGAACGGAGGGAGTAGGTGATAAATTTCGTCTGTGATTTAGAAATTGCTAATACAGAGTTCGGAACATATAGTCACCATAAACATCTGGATCATTGGGTTTTGAATGGGCCCCCTCCCCCTTGAGATTAGACAGCGGCGAGCTCGAGCCGAGGATGACGTCAGCCGAGGACGCCATGACGTCGCCGCCAGTGGAGGAAGAACCTTGACGGGTTTGGGGATTAGGTTTTAAGCTTGAGAAGATAAACCAAAGTTGTGGGATGTCAATCCAGCGGCGCAGAAGTTTCCAAGAATCCGACGGCGAAGTTCTTTTAGAGCATCGGTCTTGATGAACAAATCTGCGCCCCTATATGTCTGCAGACATGAGCCGGCCGGCCCTCATTTGTCTGTGTCCGCAGTTTTGAACCATCAATTCCATGCAACGTGGATTCGGCCTTCGTACAAAGATCGAAAAGAGAACTATACTCGATAGAGAACCAAACTTCCTACTCCTAGTTCAAGGAGATGTCGATGCCCGCCTTGCCGGAGCTGCGGGCCTCGTGGTCATTGACGGTGGGGCGAATCTTCGGCATCTCCTCCTCCCCATTGTTGTCCGCTAAGATCCGCTCCCATCTCATGTCGCGGAGGTGGATAAGCCACCTCCCGCTCGGACTGGAGCGAGTCAAGGATGGCCTGGTTTTCGGCCACGAGGCCTGAATCGGTGACAAGCGTAGCGAAGGCAGCACCCGCTTGCTCTGCCTCCAACTGTGCCTCCGCCGCGAGGTGCTCCACCTCCACCACATCGGCTTGGGCGAGGTAGAAGCTCTTAGGCACCTGAACGCATGTTGACTAATGATAAATCATCGCCAGGTCAGTGTTCGAGACGCTAGGAGGACAAATGCAAACCTGTGAACCTCGAGATATGTTAGCAGTTAGCACGACCAAGCCAAGAGCGTTTAAATCACTGAATAGAGTGGGTCAAAGATATCATGCTACCTAGCACAGTAATAATGCAAATATCATGTTTGATATGATGTGTTTGTATTATTACTGTTACTCTTACTAGTATCATCTACTACTACCACGACTATTACTGCTACTAATACTTTTCAAACGAGGTCGCGTTGACATAAACAGTATTGAACCAGTCTTAGGTGGCCCCAGTTAAGAGAAATGTCATCTCTTTTTTCAAGAAAAAACAAAGGACCTTTGCGGTTCATTGCATTGAAAAGATAGGAGTACGGTTACAATCCTCCTAGGAGGTGGGTTTTACAGAACCAACAGTCTATGTCATCTCTTGATAATCAATCTTGTGCGAATGTTTAAAACAGAGGAGGGTCAGGTAGGAACAATCTAAAATATACTGTGTCTAATACAAGTTCACTAGGGTCATGTCTGTAAAGATATGAAAATGGTACCAAACCAAGGGAATCTTAAAACCATCTCATAAGAAAGCTTCGTAGTAACAGGCCTAGAGCAATACATCGCTCAGGAAGGATTATACTGTATGTCTTTTCGAGGGTCGTATTTTCTGATTGGAGTACAAAAGAAAACAGATGTGAGAGATGCATATCCATTTCACAATGGAAGAAGGTAATGAGAGAAAGTATATATACTGAACATACTATCTCTAGCCGAAGATATCTGCATACACCATACAAGAGGTATATTCAGTTTGAAGTTTTACAACAGAGGGAATGTAAGACAAGCAATGGCCCAATTCTGTGCCAGAGCATAGCAAGCACATAAACACAGTAGCCAGTACCAGAACACTTGCCATGGGGAAGACCTGGCAGTCTATTGAGCTCGTTCAATAACATATGCTGCCCAAAATTGGCAAGATGTGATGAAAGAAAAACTGCTGCAATTTACGATGATGACTCCCCCAGAAACTAGGCAGCTGCAGCAGGTTCAGCATTCGGAACATACCAACCACGGATTATCTCAATGGCCTTCTTCCTCCTTGCAAGCCTGGACTTGCGATGATCTCCAGTATTCCTGTGCATGGCGCCAACCTTCACTGTCTTGTCGATGGCTTTGTATGCCTCGGAGATCATTTTCTCTATTTCAATGATTTCTTCAGGTTGGGCATCGGCTTTCTTCCTAAGCTTTTCAAGGGCTCTGAAAACCTAATAAAAGAGTAAACGCTTAGGGCATTTGGTCTCAATATAAAAGAAAACTTCTGGGATTGATTGCTAAATTAAAAAAACTGAATGTTTTGTACAGATGAAACCATCTTCATACCAATAACCAGTACTCCCTCCGTCTGGAATTAGTTCAGGACGGAGCTTATATGACATTTGATTTACTAATTCAGGACGGAGCTTAAATGGATGTATCTAGGCGTATTTCAGTGCTAGATACATCCGTTTGAGTGTCAACTAATTCAGGACGGAGCTTATATGACATTTGATTTACTAAAATAACACATAACACCTATTATTCAGATGAAGTACGTCACGGAAACTAAATTTGATGGTTTGTTACTTCTGTCCCCTTCTTCGGATGTTTTGTGGGCAATATTCCGATAATAAATCCACTTGCAATATCCAATTAATCACTCGCCTTGTACAATCAAATTTAATCCGTTTGTAGGTTAATACTACATCAAATCCATCTACATTGACAATAAGGCATGTCAGAATGACAGAATGCAACTCAAAAATGTATTTCAAGTGGAGAAACCAACACACATTTTACAAATTCTTAAAATCGGTTAATTTGCAGTATAGAGTCTACTCCCCTCCCATGAAAATTCCCCCATACACAGCAACACGTGCTTATCTCAATTCTCAAAGCACCGATTCCCCATTTTCACCAAGCAGTGCAAATTAAGTATTTTAGTGGCAAAACTTGAAGGATGGAGAAAGGGATAGGCCCGCCGTTAGGCATTGTATACCTTCTTCATCCGGGTGCGCATCTCGGCCTTGCGGGCATGGTTGCGGATGCGGTGTCTGTCATTCTGACGCTCCCTCTTCTTCACCGAGTCTGGCTGTCTTCCAGTCTTGGGCGGCTCGGCGGCGCACACCACCTGGAGCCCCCTCCTCCTCAACCTTCCCGTCGACGGCGAGGCTCCAAACCCACCTGACGAAAGGCATTCTCGGACACTGATGAATAAACATAATTTTCTTGAGGAAACTCGAGCGGGAGAAGGGAAGTGCGGTACCGATGGGGAAGGCGGCGTAGGAGGTCGACAGGCGGGCCTGTGGGGCGACGGCGCGGAGGGAGAGGGAGGCGGGTGCCCGGGAAGGGGAGGGGAGGGAGGCCGAGAGGGAAGAGAGGGAGAGGAGCGGGGAGGTGGCGGTGGCCATGGCTGGAGACCAGGATGGGAGGAGTCCGAGCTGCAGCCCCGTCCTGTGTCAGTGCCGATGATGTTATCCTATCCGGGGAAGTAGTAGGTTGCTCCGGCTGTGGGGCTGAAGGCGGGAAACCGATTTACGCCTACTTTGCACTAAGACGGGACTGGGACTGAAGTTAATAATGTCTTCCACACGGGTGTCTTCAAGCCCACCCCAAACCGGACATTGTACTCATCCGTGAATCCGGTCCACAGACAGTGATACAGAAGTAGGTCATCTAACCATGTCCTCTAAATATTGACCTTTGTTTTTAAGAGCCCACAAACTCAAACAATAGCATCTCAAATCTTCATGAGTGGAAATATTTAGATATTTAATCCAATTAAGTTTTCAAATTAAATTGAATTCAACTTTTATATGTTCTAGTTGTCCCCTTTAGCCGCCTATAGATGCTCAATCAAATCTTTCTTGAACTGCTTATAAATTGCTCGATGCCGAATTTGTTGATGCATCTGAACAAACTCATCAAACATAACCGGATTCTCATGTGAAAGTTGGATAGGATCACCCATGTTCTCAAATTTCAGACCTCCGGCAATATCTGCGCCCTCATCCTTGATACGTCTCCAACGTATCTATAATTTATGAAGTATTCATGCCAATATATTATCATTCTTGGATGCTTACAATCATTTTATAGCAACTTTATATCATTTTTTGGGACTAACCTATTGACCTAGTGCGCAGTGCCAGTTGCTGTTTTTTGCTTGTTTTTTACATTGCAAAAAATCAATATCAAACGGGCCAGAGCTGCACCTGGGGGTGCCCCAAGGGAGGCACAACCCACCAGGGCGCGCTAGGGCCCCCTGGCGCGCCTAGGTGGGTTGTGCCCACCTCGGTGGCCTCCCGCCCCCCCTCTTTGCACTTTAAATTTCCAAATATTCCGGAACCCTTCGGGATTAACCTAGATCAGAAGTTCCGCCGCCGCAGGGCTCCGTAGCCACTGAAAACCAATCTAGACCCGTTCCAGCACCCTGCCGGAGGGGGGAATCATCTCCGGTGGCCATCTTCATCATCCCGGCGACCACCACGATGAGGAGGGAGTAGTCCTTCCTCGGGGCTGAGGGTTTGTACCAGTAGCTATGTGATTAATCTCTCTCTCTCTCTCTCTCTCTCTCTCTCTCGTGATCTATATCATGGGCTTTGTTAATATAGTCGGATCATATGATGTTTCTCCCCTCTATACCCTTGTTGTGATGAATTGAATCTTTACCCTTTGAAGTTTTGTCATGTCAGATTGAATGTTCAGATTTGAGAACACATGATGTATGTCTTGCGGTGTGAATACTTGAGGTGACAATTGGGGTATCTTATTGATTCACTTGATATATGTTATGGCATTCAACTCGCGGATTCCCATGGTGATATTGGGGTAATCTATGCATAGGGGTTGATCCACGTTTTTATTATCTTTTCTCCGATGGAAACTTTGGGGTCTCTTTATAGTTCCTTGTGTGGGTTGAGTATTATGAATATGAATATGCTGTGTTATTCTAGTACGAACTCTTGAATAGATCGAACGGAAAGAATAGCTTTGAGGGGGTTTCGTACCCTACAAACAATTCCTATCTTTTGTTATCCGCTAATAGGAACTTGGGAGTGATTCTTTATTGCACTTTGAGGGATAATCATATGATCCAACTATGTTAGCACTGTTGGGAGATTGCACTAGTGAAAGTACGAACCCTAGGCCTTGTTTTTAAGCATTGCAATACCGTTTTCGTGCCTGTTTACTATTTGCTACCTTGCTGTTTTTTTATTCAGATTATAAAAATATATTTCTACCATCAATATTACACTTTTATCACCATCTCTTCGCCGAACTAGTGCACCTATACAATTTGCCATTGTATTGGGTGTGTTGGGGACACAAGAGATTTCTTGTATTTGGTTGCATGGTCGTTTGAGATAGACCATCTTCATCCTACACCTCTCACGGATTGATAAACCTTAGGCCATCCACTTGAGGGAAAATTGTTATTGTCCTACAAAATCTGTGCTTGGAGGCCCAACATGTGTCTACAAGAATAAAGTTGCGTAGTAGACATCAATCCTCCACAATCATGTCATGCATGATCATATAACATGTCATCATCTCCCCTGAAGATCATCGGGTCCCATTGTTTAGCAGGTCCACGAACAACTGCAAAACGGACATGGAGCACTCCAAATGCCCTCTCCACATTCTTTCTAGCTCCTTATTATCTTTGGTTAAAGTGAGCTCTTTTTTGACCAACTATCTCAGAGATGGACTTGGCGAATATAGTCCATGGAGGATAGATACCATCAACCAGATAGTAGTCAATGTTCTACTGATGCACATTGACAGTGTAGTTGCTAGGAGGAGCTTGTCCTTCAGTCAACCTAGCAAACATGGAGACCGCTGCCAAATCCAGTGGTCATGTGATGACCCTTGACCGATCCCTTGAAATTGAGAACATGCTCTTCCGCACACCTCGCTTCTGTAAGGACCGCTTGTATCATCGATGTTTCATCCGCATAATCCTCCTCGTCAGACGACTCAACGCGTGCTCGTACATGTATTCCATGTCTGAATCCATTACTTCAAAGAAGGGACAAAAAAATTGCACGAGCATTTCACCAAACACTTGCCGGGCGTGGTGATCCCCGCACTAGCAGATGGTACCTGCTCGGTGGACGGACAAGAGGTGTGGACTAACAACGTCGACCGAGCTGAGCGGTGGAGGTCACGGAGGTCTAGCAAGGGCTTGGCGGGCGGCTGGGGTGGTACAACAGCAGCTACGGAGAGGGAGGAACCAGATGCAGAGAAGGGGACATGGGTAGACACGCGGGGTCCTGATGTGGTTTTGGGTGGGCCGTGGGCGTCGGAGTCTTACATCATGATGGTCCACACTCTCGCAAAGCCCCCTAATTTGCTTCAGTTTTGCGAGAAAATGAACACTCAAACTAGTCTGCGGACCAATGCGGGATGACGTTGGATGGCAAACTACGTCCAGACAATGCGGTTCCGATGTTTGCTGGCGATATGAGGGTTTGCATTGGAGATGCCTGTCGGTGTCAAAATTGGTGGATCTCAGGTGGGGGTCCCAAGTTGTGGATCTAGGATCAATGGGGAACAGGAAGCATAGGGACATCATTTACCCAGGTTCGGGCCCTCTCGAATAGGTAAAACCCTACATCTTGCTTGATTGTATTGATGTGTGTATGAGGATTACATAGTTGATCTACCACGAGATAGGATGAACTGAACCCTAGTTGAGCAGGATGAAGGTTCTTCTAGCCTCTACGGATTAAACCCTCTGGTTTATATAGACACCAGGGGTACCTAGGGTTACACACAGTCGGTTAGCATCAAGGAATAAACATGTCGATTCTTCCATCATGACTTGGAGGGCACACCAAGGCTTCAGAGGTTTCCTTCCTGCACACGGAGTCACCTTATAGTTCGGTTTCCAATAACAGTTATAGAGCAACCCAGCTATCCAACCCACAAGTGCTAGACCGACAGCCCAAGGACCCCATAATCCCGGACACCCTCAGTAGCCCCCAAACTAGCCTCCAACGCTAGGGCCCATGATCCTGGTAGCCTCGCACGCCCAAACTCTCCGGCTTGCGGGGCGAGTTCTTCTCCCCTTTTATGTTCGGCTTTACAATAGTTTAGCTGCTGACGATCTTGGCGAAGTACGGTCGGGCCCATAGCACCAACCCTTTTGCTTAGGGTTAATGATACCCCTCGACTTTCATGCACCAGAAGGAGGCAGATAGTGCAGTAGTCTTTTACAGAAAAGCTCCTCATGGGACAAGTAAGAAGCGCATATTAAATAGGCCAGGAGCGGGATGGGCAACACATTCCATCCCCAAACCATTGAGATGCCAAAAAAATCAGAGAACTCTGGGAAAATGGCGAGTGCACCAGGCTCCTCCTCATGCCCCCATGGCCCTCTCTCGGGCGACTGTGCAAGCTATTCAGTATCCCGTCTCCAATTAAGCAACCTAGAGACGCAAGGGTATCTTCCTGCTTTAGATCTTGCATCCACTCGCCCCAGATTAACTTCCGCAAATGGCAAAGCTTTCACAGAGAACTTCCCTGCTCCACACAAGGAAGAGAGGGTATGCTTCGTGCCCTTCCTCTTATGAGGCTTGGGTTTTCCCACTCACCCCTTCCTGAGGGGTTTGCTAGATTTTTACAGGATCCAGCTCCATCATCTCACCCCTGGATCCATTCTGCATATCTCGAGTTACGTCGCCCTTTGCGAGATGTTTCTGGGATGCGAGGCCCATTTCGAATTATGGAGAAAATATTTTTGCCTTGTTCCCCGCACCCAGGGAGGGACAATATTTGAGGTTGGCAGAGCCGAAGTATGGTGCATAGCCGAGATGGGGTACCCTATCGGGACCCCAAAGAAGGATTCCGAAGAGTGGACCTCAGAATGGTTTTATATCGAAGACGTCCCCCTATTCGAGCTAGCTCGGAGGGGTCTGCCCAAATACTCAGACACGCCTTTAGAGAAGCGGTTTAACTAGCGACCAAAAATCCCTTCCCAAGAAGAAAGCACCGAAGTAAAGCGTCTAGCCGCTAAGGTGAGGTTGCTAGCCCATAGTAAGTTAGCCATCATTGACGTGATGGCCGCTGCCATTACACTACTAGGGAAAACCTTATACACATAACTTTAGCAGTAGCGCTTGTTAAAAAAGGGCGCTAATGCTATTTAGTAGTAGCGCGTGCACGTTAACCGTGCTGCAAATACAAATGTAGTAGTAGCGTGTCTCCATGGAAAAACGCTACTACTAAAATCTCCACTACTAAGCCGATAGGCTACAAATAGTAGTAGCGATCTTAGAAAAACCATGCTACCGCTAAGATTATTGTAGCAGTGCATTTACCGTGAAAAGCGCTACTGCTAATGAAAAGAAAATGAAATGAAAAACAAATAGAAAAGTAAATGAAAATGAAAGAAATAGAAAAAGGA